AGTGCATTAAAAATAAAGTAGGGTAGAAACCAGTAAATCTGAGTTATTAAGAGAAAAATATAACAAGTGAAACAAAGATTTTTTTGCTTATTTTTGCTTTGAAGTGCTTCTGACCAAGAGTTAGTCATAGCCAAAACCTTCATTATGTTCTATGGCATAAAGCAACTTTTCCTTGAGTATGCTTTTACTACTGTATCTGGGGAGAAAAAAAACAAGGGAGCAGGTATTGGCAGAGGGATAGAGCTCATCTGGATTATTTGCTAGAGCATCTACAATAACAAATCCAAAACATTCCAATCGATAGCCAGGGATTCGATCAGATCCTGACAAAAAACCTGAAGGAATGAGAAATAAAATAAGCAAGAAAAAGTAAGCAAATTAAAAAATAAACCAAGATAATGTTAATTGAAAATCATGAAAATAATTAATGTAATGAAAATCATGAAGGGAAATTAGTGTAAACATATGGCTATTTTCATATGCTAATTATTTTGCTTTGTTGAATTTGTACCTAAATACAATAAAGTCTCTTACTAATTAATAATAATTATGAGCTGTCTTTTACTTTATAATTTAGACTTTGTGGATGAGGATGACCAGGCTAGGTCTGACCTTCTACATTTAAAAACAATGAGCTAGCTTTGGCAATCCTTTGAGAAAGGTAAACTGCTTACATCAGTATAGTCTGCTCACACAAACTGAGGCCTCTGACCAACAAGACAACCACAAAAGCAAGGGATAAAGTAATTGCAAGGTTCAAGGGGGTCAGGTGCACTCAGGCAAGCCTTCGTGGTTTTCACTAGAAAATGTGGCAGCAGAAAATGTGTTGTGAGGGAGAAAAAAGAACTATGAAAAGTTTAAAATTAGTGATACATTACCAAGGAACATTTTCTTTTTTTCTTCTGGAAGTTCATGAAACACATTCCAAAAATCTTGGATGGTTTTATCTGACTTGTTATACATCCTGTATACCACATTCTGTCAAAAACACAAAAATAAAACAGGCCAGCTAATCCTCAATATTTCCATTTATATTTAAAGCAACAACATTTTATCTGATAAATTTTATAATCCTGTTCATGGATGTTCAAATCCTCTTAACCTCCAGAATCTGCTCATTCATTTGTTTTTTCAAAGATTCTTATGACAATCCTTGAGCTACAGCTCGATACTTAGTCCCCTTTATTCTTATACCTGATGTAGACTAGAAACAGAACAATGACACAAGTCAAAAAAAGAGAAAGTCCCTTGAGCTTCTGTCCATCTGTTCATGACCTATGCAATCAATGAAAGAACAGGTCAGAAGTAGCTTATGCTTCGCAGATACAGCAGAAGGACACTGTGCTTGTATACAATACCTTTTCCAAGAGATGCCAGTCAACTGCTGTGTGTCCCTGGAGAACAACCTGGAGCTCTGCAGGGAGAAACATCTTCCAATTTCTAGCTGGGCAGCCTCTTAAAAACCCACGCATAAAGTCCTGAAATGGCTTCTGCACTGATTCATTGAACACATAATTCACGTACAAGTCAACATATTCTTTCCTGGAAAAAATATCAAATGAGCAATACGGTAGGTGCTTTTGTAAAAGGAGAATTATAGAGAACTTTATGCCTTATTCCTTTATTCTGTACAACCCACTGAACTGTAAAGACTCAGTCTACTGAGATCAGTCATCACTGGCAATTATTTATTCACTGAATAAGCTGGGAGGATTTTCACAAATAAAAGAGAACAGTGGCCAACATGCATTCATTTTGGTAATACTCATTGTACTTCATGTGAACACTCTAATGAAATCCTGTCAAATTATTATAAAAATGGAACCTAGCAGACCTAAATGGTGTAAATTCAACAAAACTCCTACTGAATGCCCAAGAATTTCCCTGAATCAAAATAAAAAAATCAAAATAAATATTTGCATAGCTGCTAATCAGTAGTTTCACTCTTCTCTCTACTTGTGATGGGGATTTGTGTAGTGACATTGTACTTGCAGAATCAACTCAATGTAAATGCTATACCTCAAGCTTCCTAAACAGTCCTCTTGTGCATCCCTATGAGTCCTCAGATCATCTGCATAATTCAGGATACAGAATTTTTCTCTGTCCTCTGTGCCGAGGTTAATATTGACACAAAGCCTTATTGACCTGATTGCTCCTTCTCTTTTATATACAAGATACATTCCATAGACATAACTATGCAGAAAACATTTTGCTCTAAAAAAAAACCCTTATGGAGGTGTACCTATAGCTAGATTTGCCAGACAAATCATCTGTATTTCACTGAAAATACTGTTCAAGGGTATTTATACATTTGTTAGGAATTTTCCTGATATACGCAGATGCCAGGATGTCCAAGGATCTCCTTCTCATCTGCTGCTTGCACAAACCACCAGTGTCTAGCACATGTGCAGCAAATACAGCAGGGACCAAAAGTGTACAAAGACCAAGACCAATGGCATAATACTGAAGTCAGTATTTTCTAAGAGTATATGGGGATGGCTTATAGACATGTTATTTCATACAATTGTAACCAGATAACAGGATAAGAAATGTAAAAATAAAACTGACCTGTTATCCTTAGTGACAGGAATGTTGGTACCGTTTTTTTTAAGTTCAACGACATCCATAGAATCTCCTTCTTCCATTATCTACACAAATAATTAAAAAAGTTGGCTGCTATATCTATTATATATGACAGATATACATGTGCCACACCTATCCTTCTTCCTGCAGGGCCTGACATAGCACTTTTACTAGTCTGAGTTTACAGACAAGCTGTGTCATTTGCATTGGGACAGTCTTGCCCGAGTACATATATCGGATGTCTGAATGGCACAGCGGCCTTACCGTGAAGTCTATGTCCATGCTCTCAAGGATGCGATCACATTCTTCATTCAAAATGCCCCAGAGAATCCTGTCAAAAACACAAAGGGGAAAAAAGAGAGAAGAAACATGACCACTCGATGCACTTTCAAATTCTGCTGAAAACCATCCTTTGATAAGCAGTATTTAAACGCATACACATACAAAACACATACACAACACCTATACTCATAGAGAACCATCATATATGGCCCTGAACTTATGTCATGCTGCTGCCATGAGTTGAGGGCAAATGCCTCCAGTAAAAAAAAAGGATTCCAGTCCATCCCCATGCCTTGTGGGGACAACTTTATATAAAGTTCAGTGAGAAGTGGGCTTGGACCGTAGCCTCGCTTCCAGATATTATCTATTAAGTGTGGACCAGTGGGATGATCTGGGAGAAGTGAAGCACCTCTGCAAGTATTGCAGGCAACCTGATGTTTCCGTTCACTTAGGACTCTTTACCACCTCAACACAATCACTGACTCATTGGATACAGTTCTCATCTCCTTAGCTGTTCACAGCACTTGTGTGGAAAGCTGGGCTTCATGGGCCTAAAAGCTTTATGTTGGTGACAGCAGCACCTCTCCTTGCTATGTTTGTCTGAAATCTCCCTTCCCAGTGCATGGAAACCCTGCTCTCAGAATTGGCACAACTGCAAGTGTATGGCAATACTGTGCCTGTGTAAAACAACATCATGGAAATGGATAATTAGTAAATCAGGGAAAAAACCTGGCATTAGTAATTGGGTGCTTAGATCTTTCAAGTTCAAACTAAAGCTCAAAGTGTTTTGAACTACATATTCACAGTGTGGACTTAAGCTCATGTGGAGCAGAAATCTGACCCCTTCTGAGCCATGGGGCTCGGCTTTTTGTTTTGGCAGCGCCAGCCTCTGTTCAAGAGCAACATCTGTGCCCTGGACAAGGACCTCCTTGGAAATCTGTGGCTTTTAGCAGCTCTGCAATGGCAAACATAGATACTGTAGATACCCTGAATTCAGACTCAGGGATCTCCCTGTGCATGGAGACCCAGCCTAAGCTCGGGCCATGCCTGGCTCGTACCGGCCCATGGTTGGGAGCAGCTCCTCGAGGTCCTCCAGGGTGGGGGCCAGGCCCAGCAGCTTTTTGTAGAAAGCCCTGGGGAAGGGAATGGGCACCATGCGCTGGTTAAACAGGGCCATCCCACACAGCGTCCCGATCCGGAAGAAGGTGTCCTTATCCTCACAGCCCGAGGCCTAGTTAGGAACAACCACACCAGAAAGCTGTGACTGCCTTTTCCCATGGGTGGGCTCCCCACCCACTGCCGCGAGGCTGCCTCACCTTGCTCGGGAACCACACGAGTCCGGAGGGGAAGTGGCGGAAGGTGCTGGTGCCGGGCTGGCAGAGGGTCCTGGCAGCAATGGTGAACAGCTCCTGGGACAGCCCACCATCGTCCCATCCCTGCTCGCCCACGAACACCACCTGCAAGGCCCGAGACACCCGTAGACACAGACACCCACGTCGCCCACAAAATCAGATTCGTTACCCAACAAGCCAGTAATTACACAGCCGAGAGAGACACTGATTACTTATTTCAGAGCTGCGCAAACCTGGGTGCTCGGTGGTATTTCACAAATCAAGCACACCCCAGCTGACTTTTCATGCCATCATTTATACACAGAAATCCAGAGTTAGTAACTGTCCAAGTACAGCCCTGCTATTATGATTGGTTAGTAATTCCCATACAAATCACATAACCTCAGGTAACTCCTCCGTACGCTCAGGGGAAGGGTCTTCACCTGGGCAGGGGGCTTTTTGACCGTGGGGTGTGATTTTTTTTTTTTTTTTTTAGTATTATAATGAACATAGTTCAACTATAAGATACATGGAGTATCTTATTGAGTATTCTGCCAAGTTATCCAAAGACATACATCAACATCTTGATTTACGGCATCCCTAAAGCTCGCGGGCTCCCGGATGTCCTTGACTAGGGAATGCCGGCTGCTGCCTGCTCCACCGATCAGGTCTCTTTTTTCTGCCTTCCTTTAGGCTCGAGCGTACGGAAAGAACTTCCATCCAGGAACATCCTGACTCCAGAGGACCGTGTCACATTCCCCATTTTACGGCACCCACAGGCCCGCGGGGCCGCACGGGGCGGGGCCGGGAGCGGCGGCCATGCTGCGGGGCGGCGGGCCAGCGGTGGCGGGGCTGCTGCGGAGGGCGGCGGCAGGCAGCCGGGAACAGCACCGGGAACAGCACCGGGATCGGGATCCAGACCAGGGATCCGGGACCCAGGAGCAGGGCTCTGGCTCGGCGCGGCCGCAGCCGCCGGAGCCGTCTCTGCTGCGCTTCCTGGTGTGTCCGCTCTCCAAGAAGCCGCTGAGGTGAGGGCGGGCCGGGGCAGCCGCGCTCGCTGCCCGCCCTGGGCCCGCTGCAGCCCAGGGCGTGGAGCCAGAGGGGCTCTCCGAGGGCGAACCCAGGTTTTTTCACCCCTCCTTCTGTTTTGTTGGTGGGTTTGTTTTATTACCCACCCCCCACCCCACCCCCACCCCGACTTGCACCCGTCCAGGTACGAAGAAGCTACCAACGAGCTCATCAACGAGGAGCTGGGCATCGCCTACCCCATCATCGACGGCATCCCGAACATGGTCCCGGAGGCTGCCAGGATGACGCGCAAGAAGCCCCCGACCGAGGACTCGGAGCAGCCCTGAGGACCCGCCCGGCACAGCGGGAGCTGGGACTGATGGCCGGGGGAGGGATGCTGCCCTCTCTGCCCACTCTGACTGTGCTCGTTCCCCTCCTGTCCTTGGCAGGCTTGTTTTACTCAGCCAGCGTGGACGAAGCCTTCCCGCAGGGCTGCACCAGCACGAACAGCCTCTGTTTCTACAGTCTCCTCCTTCCTATTACAATACCAGTTTATGTGTTCTTTCACCTTTGGACCTGGATGGGGATTAAGCTTTTTAGGCACAACTAGTGAGATGCTTTTGCTAACCCCTGGGCTTCTCTAAATCAACGCAGCTGGTTTAATCTCATCGGGTATTGCAGTTCATTGGAGAATTCCCTTTGGCACTACGAACTGTCATCATTTTCCTAGTAGTATCTCGAACTGTATGAAGCAGCAGCCCATTGTTACCTACTGCTAAGAGCAGGAGTAATAAGAGCACTAATTCCCTCTGCTGTATCCCTTCAAGAGTGTTGTTGTGCATTTGTAGTGGCACTAATGAAAACGACCTAGGTGGAGATTGTTTTCATGAGAAAGAACTGTACCCTGACTGAAAAAACTGATCTTAAATAATACATTAAATTAAACATGCAGTGATACGAATCTCTCTTTGAGAACTTTGGTTTTGTTTTAACTTGATGTGTGTACTGAAGTATATTTGTCTCACTGTCAGAAGAACATAACCTAAAATAAATTAGGCTGGCATTTAATAACAAAATTTGGGACTTGACATAAATGAAGAAATTTGTTGGATGATACCCATGTCTGTATGTGCAGTGGCTGCTGCGTTTTTTAAAGAATAAGATGGGTAAATGACAACTCTGCAGAACAGATGTACCTGTGCATTTGGGGGTTTTGTTAGAGTGGCCTCCAACATATTCCAGCATCTGCTTAGGAGATGTGTGTCCCAGTACTGTGTGTTAAATATACCTGAGTACACAAGTTTGGTAACCAGGCTGGGTCACTTTCGTTAAAGAGGCATCTCCTGACAGGTTAGAGGAAAAATAATTCCCAACTGAGCCTAGGATTTGTTAGCCAAGTCAACAGCTATAAAAATGCTTTTTAAGTATGTAGAATATCCTTTCCCTTAGCACCATCTCCTACTCAGTAGAGACAGAACAGGAGATACTTCCTCTAAACACTTCAGCCTTCCCTGTTTTCGTTAACAGCAACACTAGAGAATGGGGTGACAGACCACTGTGAGGGTGTCACATGCCAAGTTCTCAGTACTGTCTGAAAAACTTCCTAGCTGGACACAGCTATGAAGGGGACAGGCCAGTGCTACAATAATCTGTTATAAAGGCTTCTTTTTTATGTTTTGCTGCTAAGTGGTTTATATGTGCAACACAAACACATTAATGTCCTCTACCTGCTGAAAAATGCAGAAGTGCAGCACCAAGTTGTAGATACTGCAGACCGTAGTTTCTCTGGATGGGTGACTAATAGTGCAGTCAAATTTATCAGGATGCTGTAAATAATGCTGCCATGTGCAGTGTGAAAGGCAGTGCTTGCACTAGGTGCATTTGAAGGCTGACTTCGCTAAGTGCAGCTGTTTGTCAGAGCTTCTTGCACAGTCGGTGGAGACGAGATCTAGAGGACAGTACAGAGCTGAAGCTTCACTACCTCTGTAAATAAACGCCTCTGATAGCTGGTGAAGTGAGGAAGTGGGAAGGAAAGGTAGCTCTAGCTCTAGGGGGCATTGTGAATCTTCTCCTAAGTGTATGGGAAGGAAAAGCTTTGACAGTTCTTGTTGGCAAGAAGGCTCACTTGGGAAGCACCAGAATTGGGTAGTAGGGCACTGAGGTTGATGGCTCCTGTGACACAGGCGTGGTGCCAGACTTTGTGTTAGTGACTGATAGGGCCCATGGCCCCTGAGCTGAACTCCACTCTGGGCAGGCGCCCTCTTCCCATGTCACACAGCTAGTGGCTTTTTGCAGGGCAGGGCTAGCATTGCGATTCCTGCAGAAAATACAGCTGCCAGAACCTCTGGGTTTGTGTGGAAGCCACAGAATAGAGGCACATGGAGACAGCAGCGCTATGATCAGATTCCCATCTCTCTCGCTGGCACTATCCATCCTTCCCCTTCAAACAGTATCTCCATGAGAGAAATGGCTTTTTGTGGCTATGTTGCTTGCTGCCTGCTAAGGCTGGTTCCTCAGCCACTGGGGTTTTCATGTGCAGCAAACTAGCATGGGGTCTAAAAGTCAGTCTAGCAGTAATAGTACTGGACTTCGACAAGTCTAGTTTCCTGAGCAGTCCTATTACATTACCCCAAAGCAACCTCACAGGAAATAGCACTGCCACTCGGATTTAACTTACACCAACAAAGCTTGATGGCTACCTGGAATAACAGCGTAAGATACTGCCATCCAGATTTACTCTACACCACTTATGGATCATGTATAATAATCTGAAGAACAGTTTGTTCGTTGTATGCTCAGAGAATACTGAAACCCTTCTACCAATACTTCAGTCACACTGAAAATCAAGCAACACTGTAGCAAGATATTTAGAGCTAACAAATAATACAGTTTGGTATCTTACCTTTAAGGTCCTCCTGAATTCCTGGGTTGAGGCACGTTCTAAGTTGTTCCATATGTCTTGCAGAAAGCACTCTCTTCTAACATGAAATTCCCATTTGTCTCCCGTGTAGGTACAGGTTCTCTGAGGATTGAAATAACAGTTGTTTGCAGTGTGTTTATCTCTTCTAACTTGTTACAAAATTGGCCACACCTACCTCAGTAAAGATCTCAGACAGACGGCACTGTTCTGTGAACAGAACCTGGCATTCTGCTCTATGAGCATCCATCCTGTCTTGCGTGTCAAAGATGCATGGATACTTGCTCAGGGTCCATAGGGCTACCTGAAACGACAGGGAAGAAAGGAAAAGGCACATTGATTTTCCCCTGAGAAACCAGTTCTGGAGTACTCTCCGTTGTGGAGACTGAACTGCTGGCCTGTACCCTGGCAAAGTCCCATGTGTCTGAGATGTGCCCTGGCTGTGTGCATGAGCACTCCACTGGCAAAGGTACGCTTCCTAAAAGCAGCTTCTACACACTTCTGCGAGAAACACTGACAGAGAGGCATCTAACCTGCCTGTGCAGACAGACACCAAGAATAAAACAGAGAGAAAGTGATTTTAATAGCTGAATTCAGCTAAACCAAAACACATAGTAAAAATGTCATGGATACCCAGGTTATGGTACACTTGTTTTTAAAAACTGCTGACTTTATTGTCTGTACTACCAAAAGTACAGGTACTGGTATGAAAATAATTCAAAGTGTTACACCTCTAGTGTGATAAGGCAGCAACTTCAGGTTATGTCCTATTTGGCTTTTGGTTCTGTGCTGTTTCCCAAACCTTCTCCTCCACTCTGGTTAATTGGTACAAAATTGACACATTAGCAAACAAAAGCTTATGAAGGAATGAGGCAGTTGCCCTTCGAATTCCAGACAAGTTGCCAGAAAGCTACGGTTTTTTGCCTAAGGAAGCCCCTACTATCCACCATCCTGCTTCCTGTGACACTGACTGCATTTGGTAGCTAATTTTCACTCCTTCATGACATCAAGAAATAAACCATTTGACAGATTATTTTTAATATCATGGTTTTGTTTTAAAATGTAAGTAAATTGAAATATGGTTTCTAAACAAAAGTTTAAAGACACCCCACAATATTTCCATTAATAAAAGATAATAAAATCCACAGTAACAAGAAGTATAGCAATGGTGCTTTTTCACACTGATTACTAATTCAAAGCCAACAGAGCTTCTTAAGATGCTGAAGGACAGCTCCAGCTCTCAGAACCAGGGGTCATCTCAGGAAAGGCACTATTGTAGCTGCTAAAATACTGGGGTGGTAAAGGGCTTGCTAGAGAAAATGCATTGTCTTTGAGATGTAATGTGTTAGAGTTGCCTTTCATATCAATATTTATATATCTATATCTGTATAATTATATCTAGAGAGAGATATATCAACTATTTAAATAAAAGACAAAAGAAAGAGTGTTTTGCACTGCTGATAAAATTTTATACTTACTGCTTTATTAAAGAACTGACAGAAGATGATAATCTCTTTCACATCAGGTACATAGAAGTTGCTTTCTTCTACTCTGAAACCAGTTCTGGAGTTCACCTGCGTTGATACACACAGTATGTCAGCAGCGGATCTAGTGAGCTGTGCATCTCTGTGGCAGGACAGAACTGACGGGCTTTCTGCAGACAGAGCTCTGAGACCCTGAATAGAAGTGAAAGGATCGAAGTGCTACAAGTAGCACAGCGCCCCACAGCGAGAAGTCTCGGAAAGCCATGTATAAACTAGCAGGAAAGCAATTTTCATTTACAAAGATTCCTTAACAGGACTCCATCAGGAAAGGTACGTTTCCCTTTGAGTATCTTTCATGCTGCAGAACACTCTGTAGTTCCCTGTTCATTTTCATATTTGTTGCCTGGCAAAGATATTTGTGGACAGGCAGTGAACATGTGAAGCTCCAAATGATGTAATCACAGAGGAGTAGGCCTGCTGCATTTTTGAGTTTATTTATCTGGATAAATGCAGATTCAAGGACCAAATCTGCAGTCTCAGCTAAAAGAATATTCAGTTCTGAACAAAATTTAACAACTCTTCTCCGATTCATACTGTGTGCTTGAGCTCTTGACTTTCCTAGACTTTGAACATCTCCACAGGAGAAAGGGTGTTAGTCAAGAACACAGTTACTGCTCCCTTTGTTCCCCTTGTTTGTTTTCAGCTAAAGAGGCTCTAATACTGTTGTTCCAGAGAATTTCTCAAGTAACAGGCTCTTAAAGCCTCCTGCAGCACCATTGTGACAGCTCCAATGTGTCAAGCAGGTAGGTTGTCTTTTAAATTTGGTTACTGGGGTGAAGGATCTCACCAGCAGAAAGGTGAATGGGCATGCTGCGTAGGGGACACCACATCCATAGCTCTGTAGGCATGAATGCATGCACTCTGCACACCACTGAAGGCATTCCTCCCCCTGCCAGGGGCTGTAACATGCCTTAGCTCTTAGTTTCTATAGAGGATCAGTTAGGCAGAACTCAGGCAGGATTCCTTCACAGCTGTGCTGGTGTAGAGCCAAAGAGATTCCTGAAGCAGTGTCAGATGACAAGGCCCTATGTTTCCTTGTAAGAAGGAAACCCGGAGAATTCAACAAGTGAAAAGGATTAAAATATGCAAAGCCATATTGAAACATCCTGTCCAATGAGGATCCAAGTACTTTCTCACCTGGTAAAGCATTTGCAGTATTTGCAGAGGCAGTGTTTCATCTGGGGACAGGTTGAAGGGGTCTCTTGGCCCACAGATTTGGAATTCCTTGATAAATTGAGAAAGGTTTTCCTGGGAAACCCTCTGATACAGACTGACCAGCTCCTTGAAAAAGGATGTTTCTAGATTTGAGCATAGGCATGCTGTAAAGAAAACAGCTAGTGAGGTGACATGTAACATGTAAATCACTGCAATTTGTGGATGAAGCTGCATTTTATCTTTTTATCAAATATACTTGACAAAAAATTGCTTAACTTTGGACTACAAAAATTAGTAAACCTCAGAATTTTTTTATTCTTGCAGCATCGTCCCCATGTTTCTGCG